AAATATAATAATTTGTGTTAGACCTGCCATAATAATTAACCACTTCTTAATCAAATGCTGTTTTATTTAAATAAGTGTTAGTACGTTCAGCTTCAAGAAGTTCCTTACTAGATAAACCAATCTATACTGAATTAATACAATATACAATGTCCATTCTTATTTTTAGCTGTTACGATTGTAAGTTTTTAACTTTAATGCATAAAAATTATGTCACGTAAATGGAAAGAACGCCGGCATAAACTTTGATCCAGTTTCAGATTTCAAAAATCACCTAATCGTATACTCCTCACGACAACGCTTCTGGTAAATGGTTTATTGTAAACACCAGTAGGTAGTTTATTTAATAAGTGATACTTCGTAGCCTTGATGAAGTCACACATGCCAATTTCTAAACTGAATGTTTTGGAACAAACTATTCCAGTCCTCTAAACCTCTGGGCAAAGATATATTCAACACAAAATGTTAGTTTTAATTATAAAATTTTACATCATAGTGCATTTCAAATCAAAATATAATATTTGAATAAAAATATTTCTATAATATTTTCCCTCAGAAATCATATAGCGGATATAGATAATAGTATTTAAGAAGAAAAATAATTTTTAAATTTGTAGGTTTGTTATCAGAATTATTTCTTCTGTATTTTATATTCCGATAAAAATTATGTTAAATGATCACACACACACACGTATCAGTAAGTACTTAAATAATGAATGAGCCTTCAAAATCTTCCTTTTATCTATTACTGGAGGATTTAACCACTTAATCTGTTTTGAAATTTATTTTTATAAATTTGTTATGTGTTTGTCATTCTATTTATTTTGATATAATGATATACCATTTCAATTTAATCCGAACAAGGAAAATGAAATTTTTTTTCTAACTGTCTCACGTCTCTTTTCTGAATAAAGAGACCAATGAAAGATTTAATTTGTAAATTGTAATATTTTAACTGCACTTTAAATGATAGTTACAGACTTAAGTGAATTTAAATGAAGTTTAGTGTAAAGTCCAATATGGCATTGGTAGCATGACAAGACAGGTAGTACTTAGAAGTGGCAATATTAAGTTACTTTAAAAGTTTTAATTATATTATCTATATTTTAATTATATGTTGTCTGTAAATATCAATAAATATTGCTATCAGAGTTAAGAGAAAATATTTTACAAATATAAAATATTTTATTTAGATTTCACTTAATTAATGTATAAAATGGAAACTGGATATTTTTAATTTTTATTTTTTAATCTAAGTCTTAATGTTTCTGACAGTAATTTGTTGTTATAAACATATTTATTGTTTTTAATGTTGACCTTTCTCAAAAGCCACTTATGGAAAATGAATGTCCCTTAAAATCACGTTTCAAAAAAATGCATGATGATCGTTAATGTTCTAAATAATCATGCTCATGCATATTAATTTTATTCTGTTCCCTTATGACATTTACAGTGGAACTCAAATTTGAAGACGAATGAAGTGGGAACAAATTATTATGATCAAGATTCATCTTTTCAATTCAGAAATTTTTTACCTTTCGAGGTATTCTTTGACGTAGAGATCAGAGCTAATGTCCGTTTGAGAGTTCTTGAATAGAAATTCATCCTATTTAATGTGCTTGGAATGTAAACCTTTGTGACAGCATCACAGAACTTGGAAATTATAGGAAGTACATATAAAGATGCACGATTCTATTATTAAAATCAATTAAATTTGAAAAAAAGGGTCTTTCGACGTGGTTTTAAAACCTGTGCATTAACAGCAGATTGTAGTATTATTTTAATCTCATCTATAATTTCTACTATTGGCATTACTGTTATTAATGACAGTGTTTATTATACGGGTTTAAAAATAATATACATTTTATAACACGCGCAAGCAATTATATTAGGACTGTAATGATTTTTTAATTAATTGGTGCAATTACTGTTTATTTTTTCAAGCCAATCAGAGAAGAACCGTGACCACTTACTATCAAATATCAGAATATACATTTTAACAGAAATACACGGTAGTCATTCAAGTATGTAAAGGAAAATTTATCTCATCGCTCATAAACAGTTTTTGCACATATCTGACTACTTATCAAGTCCTTTGGTATCACATAAGGATAAAATAAAAATAAATTTTCTTCCTTTCCTTCTGAAGTTTCTGTTTGCTTGCCCTCACATTCCTATACATCATTAGAAGGTGTTAACACCCCAAACCTCGGACTAGCTAATTTTATGTGATTCATGCTCTAAGAAAGTTACGTGATTAGAAATTTTTGGGGGGAATTCTTCATGTCTAATAGGACACAAAACTTGTTTTTAGTTTGAAAACAATTTAAGGGTTTCGAACAAAAAAACTGTTATACTTTTCACATAAGTTAAAATCGAATAAAAAATTGTTTGGTATTAATTACATGTGTTATGCGAAGTGCGAGAAATAATTTAATTAAACCAAATTGTAATAAGCATACACTACAACATTATAACCAAAGGTACATGGGGTTAAATATTCACATAATGCAAGAAACGTAAGTAAGATAGTAGAATAGATCTCATAGGAACATAAAATTTTTGGTGTGAATTGAATATGAAATAATACAACGCAAATTAACTCGTTTGGTATCTAAAGTATGGGTTCAGTAATTATTTAATACATATCTTGGTGATTAATATTGATTTCATCATTACAGTTGTAAAATTTAAAAGTAACGAGCTTGGTAATAATTTTTAAAAATTATTTATTTTGATTTATAAGGCATGTTAGAAGCTTTCTTAACGTAAACATGATTACGACATTTCAAAGGAAAATTACAAACATGATTGAGAAATTCACTCCTTTTTATATTAGATTAGCGTAGTAACATGGTCTTAATCTTGTGAATCAGATTTAATTATGTACAGTGACAAATACAGTTTTGAATGTATATTTAGTATTTCAATTTTATACCAAACAATTTACAGAAAACACAATAAGATGATTTTGTTTGTGAATCTGTCATCTAGCTGTTATTTTTATATTAATCTTTATTATGAGGGAATGGGAGATTAAATCTCCAAACTACAGAGCTGCATGAAAGACTTTATTTCGAGGTTAGTGATTTAAAAATATGCCACTGTTATCTAAGACCAGCTGGTCACTCCTAACCCACAATATGCTCAGAGAAAGCAGGCATATTCAAATGACAGCTATTTTTAGAAAATATTAACAGTTCTGTGAATTGGATTGCTAGTCTTCTAAATTGTAAAAATGATATATATGAAAGTATTATCTAAAAAACCCGCTATAAGTTTTCATCCTTGTCGCCATAATCAGGTACCCACTATTAAATTAGTATGTTCATGTTTATGTGATAATTTTCCTGAGTTGTATCCATTTCAGTAAGTCATATAACGTGATACATTATTAAACCTCTAAAGCTAAGGCTTATCTAAATCATGACGACGATAATGAAAATAATAAAAAGAATTCAGACCGTACCTCAAAGAAAACACAGCAATTCACGATCACAAAGCTAAATTTCTTAATGATTTTTATGGAAATAATCGCTGTTTACACTACGAATTTTATGAAACATGTTGCAGCATTAGTGACTGTTAAAGCAGATAGTACGTATAATTATCACTCATCTTTAAATGTTTAAGAGAAATAAATGTACGTATAAATATTGGAGACCATTAATATTGTAGATAAAATGGATAGATAAGAATATTGAGTTATTAAAAATAAGGGACAAAGTCTCATTTATACAGACTTTTTGTATATTATATTGATAAAAAATGTATATAAAAATGTGTGGATTTCATTACAGTTATGTATAAATTAAATACATAACTAAAATGCTAAGATATAAAAAATAAGGGTAAGAACGTGTTACGTGCAGTCAGCTGTTAAAATATTAAACGTAAAAGTTGACTTGGTCTTGGTATTAATAAACCTGTAGTGATGAACTGTTTGCCTAAATAGACGCAAATGAGTCTGTCCCCCCAAGTAATAATCTGTAAATCTCTAGTTGCTGAATGATGGTTGGGTGTTTTTTTTTATAGAACAATTTCTTCGTTAGAGTACAGCAAAGCTGTATACAAAATTTTATATTGAAATTAAGTTTTCGGAAGAAGTTGTTTTATTATCCTTCATTTTCTACGACTGTACATGATTACTGGTCTTGATTATTTCCCTGATTTCAGATGTATAATTTATAATATACATCTTATAATATATGTGAATAACAGCTGTAACATTTATCGTGCCTGATCTAAATCAGTAGCATTTTGCTGGAACTAAGAAAACTGGACCACTCTAAAATGAAGCAGGCAGTCACTGGCGCACAAGACTATTTCAGCAAACATGCAAATGTGATATAAAGAACATGTGAGTACAGTCTACATAATAATTTAGCGATAAGATGACATTAATTTTCAAGACTATAAAATAATTATCTCGTCATTTCACTATTTCTCATGTACATTTTAAGTATTCAAATTTTTGTTTAATTACAGATAACCTGGAAACAATTTATCATTCCTATTCAGAGGAGGATTAAGATTCCTGGGTTCAATCTTTTAGTGGTACGACACTCAGCCAGTTGAACTGCGGGTAAGCTGTCATGTGACTGCTGAAAGTTAAAATCTGAATGACATTCATCGCTGTTTAAAAAAATGTCCTCTAAGTTAGTATTAAGGCTTTGACCGGGATGTTCTTTTGTTAAATCTTATGTGGTACCGCCTGATTCGACTTCTAATGGTTAAGTGAAGTGTTTTCTTCGCGGTACGGTCTGGATTCGTAAATACTATGAAGACGAGCTTCGGCTTCAAAGGGTTAACCAGCTGATTTTCGTAATGGTGAGGTGAAGTGTTTTCTTCGCGGTACGG